ACACAAAAGATGCAGGTAAGCTGATATGGAAGGTAGTATTTGGACTGGAACGGAACTCTGTCATTAAGATGTTGGGCCATAAAGGGAGCGGTTTCCGCAAGAAGGTGTGGGTGGGCGGCCGGATAGGTTCGAACCACCGCAGTGGATATTATTCTGGTCAGAAAAGCAAACTTGCTTTTAAAGGGACCTGATAGGAACATGTCGTTGTTAGGAAAAGTTACAATAAACTCATGGCTATCGCGGATCTCTGTCTGCATTTTGATGACCGTGCTTAGTAACGGTTTTCTTGTAGCGTTTTGAAAATACGGTAATTTTAGCTTCCAACTTCTTTTGGCCGAAAATATTCGTAGCGCAAAAATACAAGCAGTAAGCAAGAGAACGTTAGAACATCAAGGGTAGAAAACTTATCAACTGCGTATGTTTGCTTATCCGTGTGGCCTTACGGGCTACACTTCTCCAACTTCAACGTTGAACAACCCTTCTTTCTATTTAGCCGTCATTTCTTCAGCTCAGCAACACGTGCAAGAAAGCTGGCTTACCATAATTTTCACCTTCGATGGTGAAATTCGACGACGTATAAACACTCTTTACCTAGCTTAACAGGTTGGAAAAATCAGTGTTTGAGTTGCAGATCATGAACGCATCACCCGTGTAAAGATATGAGAAATACAGAAATGCAAAAGTGCAGCAGTAATTAACACCGGTCTGTGCGAACTGGAAATCATTATTAGCCGTAATATATATATATATATATATATATATATATATATATCAGTCTCCATCTGAGCACTTTCTTAGTGTCCGGGTTGGGTGTTATGTGTTGAGTGAAACCAATGTGAAAGAGACGAGATTGCATTACCGTGTACGAAAGAACTCATTGACAAGTTGATAAACGCACGGCAATTTGCACGGTAATTTTTTCCTAACTCATCAAACCGGTGACGGAAGTTTAGCGACAAATTGTTGAATATGTGATAACGACTGGTCATTAAATATCCAGAGAGCCAGATTACATGCGCTAATAAAATAGTGCGTGGCTCAGTTGTTAAAGTGCTAAATTTGCAGAAGTCCGATTTTGCATGATGTGAAAGTAGCCCATCTGTAGGTCTCATCTTTATCATATACATTTAAATCTATCAGCAAATGACAGAGATGACTCCACTTTCGGTTAGTACTCAAATCGAGGGAAATCTGATTATCGCTACATTGGCTGCCGGTTTGTGAGTGAGAGTTTATTGTTTGAGATACTTCTTGGGGAAATGTCATCAGCATCAGCTCATCACAGTTCAGGACTGCCAGGTATCTAGTGTATGACTTAGCTTAAATTTTGATCGCAAGCACCTCAGGTAAACTATGCACATTTTGTCGAATAAATGTTTAAATCTTCTAGAACACAGCATACATTCTTGCGAAGTAATTTTGCGCTGCTAGCTGTAGTCGGCCTACATCGATACTAGTAAAATATTGATCAGAAAAAAGACGATGACTGCTTTACTGCACGACAACATGTGTTTAATCATAAATAAATCTCGCCGCTCGTAAGGCGTTTGCAATTGTGCTGCCTTTCATATAATACACTTGGCTAAAAGACAGCTTCTATCTACGCAAAGCCGATAGAAACGGAATGTGTAAACCGTTCGCCGGCCATTCAGCAGAGAAGCTAGTACGCATGGCTGTGGCATGATTTGGCTTTTCTAATCAGAAACTTGAATCCTGGCACTAGCGACTTCTCTTTATCGTTGCCGAAGCTAACTACAGCACCACTACTCTCAAACAACCCTTATTTCTCATCGCAACACTGTTTGTGTCAAATGGTTAATAGCTTTGATAAAATTTGAATTGTAAGGAGACTAAGTCTCAACGAAATCGAATGCACTTAGTTTGGAGGGCGTTTCCAGTTTTGACTAACTAGTACAAGGTTTTGTATAACAAGTGAAACGTTTAACGATAAACTAAGTGATAGTGTTATTTGCCACGTCATATTCAAGCAATCTGACATCGGTCTAGTAGAGATAGTTAGACAGCCAACGGAATACGTAATTTAATAACAAGAGGAATATAGTTTATCTTCTGTGCACGGCACCGTTGTGGGCAGCAAGTCGCTAAGCGAGTGAGCAGCAATGCCATTTAAATGTTCCATAACATGGAAACTATTATGTTAGGCAAAATGAAGTCCGAGATGTACTACCGATATTTGCGGATTAATGTTTATTTATACATAATCATCTTATACTACTGGATGAGTTATAGAAGTTAGTCAATGTGGAGCAGACAAACATTTTGTTCATAACCATTTGTAGCGGTTCCAGTACATGTTGGCTTTCGTGGTCTGCCGTTTTGAGTAGCCGGTCGTGCCCAATTGGGAAAAGAAAAGTCTGCAATAACGTTGTCACGAGACAGATGAACAACCCTAAGATTACCATGGGTAATGATGAGATACGCCCATCTTTCGGATGATGGATCAATTGTAAATAAGTTATGTGTCAATGAAAAAATAGATTTATGAGACTGAGGCCAGTTGTGTAATCTTAACATGCATGAATTTTACTACAATTGTTTCTGCCCAATGGAGATAAAGATTATAAAAGTGACTCCCAATTTGACTGTTGTATCTAGGAATGGATGCGTTGCATAGAACACGCAATCGTGTTTTTTGCGAGATAACCATCATTCCACTCCGTTTTCGTATTGTGCTAAATGCGCCCAAAATAAGACAGCGTTGAGTAAATAATCAGAATGTATGAACGAAGCTGGTGTCTGTTTCAAACATCCTTATGCAGCCACTGTTTGTTGGTGTACAACCCGTCATGTTTCTCTCGGATCCAGTGTCACGGGGTAGTATAAAATGAACGGGACTGTTTTAGATATGTCTTTTGCTTACCGGAAATAGCACTGAAGCTGATGGACAGTGTTCAGCACCAGTCCGATACAGCAAGATTAAATAGGGCCGCGACGATACCGTATTCGCTCCGCTGTGTACCATGGTAGACTTATCGACATAGAATCCTGCTCGGCCACTGCTCACATTGTATTTCGGTGAGTCTTGTCCTATCATGACGTTTCCAAAATTTGGGAAGCACCCCGTACCTCACCGATCCCATTCAATTTGATCAGCTTGCTGGAAATTATGGGTTGACTGATCGGCAGATGGAAGTGGACAACTATCGGTTTTAGACGACAGATGGGGACAATTCGGATAGCATTCTCATGCATCCAACAACCTGGTGTTGTTCCTCCTGCCAACAATGAGAACTGCGAACGTGTCAATTCCTGCGGAATAAAACGCTCCTATGCGACCTGCCTTCCCGGTAGCCAAGTGGATGGGTCGATGTAACATGCAAGGGGGCCCAGCAGTTAAGAGAACCGTTTGCAAACCGACGCAAAGAAAGCGGCTCTCGCTGATCCAAGTTAAAAATCTGGAGATAATCTCCCTTCCGGTATTAGTATGTCTGGACACGGCAATTAGTTTGATGGTCTCAACTGTTTAACAAGACAAATTTTTACCGTCCACCAACAGAACGCGGAACATCGTGGTAGAACTAGCTAACCGGCTTGCTGTACTGAAGCTGAGGATCGGATGGTGCTTATCTTGTCTCCTTGAGAGTTATATTTGGAATGGTTATAAGCTTAATAAACGGAAGCTACCTCAAAGTTTATGGCAACATTGTGGCTATTTCTTCACGTATTTGACGTATGTGTGCTTATCTCCAACACATTTCGCAGCGTAAATAAAGCTGGTATGGTGATGTCAAGCCAGGTCTAAATGAACCATGCCACTAATTCCAGTCCTCTTTGGAATTCGCGGGACAATGTTGTTGCATTCCTAATGTAATTACAACATAGTCCGCTAAAATAACATGCCATATTTATGTCTATCCAATTGATGGCTTGGTAAGTCTTGCTTAACAGGTTAATCTTGACAGTGTGCTGGACCTTAAATTCAGATCAAAAAGAAAAAGTCGCCGAAGAGCGATATGGTTAAAAGTGAGTTACTTCATAAGCCTGTGTATGAAAGACGGGCCCTACATTTTCGCACCTTACACAACATCGAGGAAGACTGGCAAGTAAAATAAAGTCAATTAGCTTGGAACTCGATGGTATGTTTTACCTTCTGTGTTGGCGCACGTTCTTATTTAAATGCACTACGGTTGACAGCAACACTACACAAGTGAACACTCGTAATGGACTTTCACGTTATCGGATGTATGTTGCCTATATCCTTGAATATGCATGTAATCCATTGGGGCATTTGGCTGTACTCTTGAAGAACAGGTTCGCAAAAGTGTAGGACTTGGATGCATATGAAAATTTTCATAAGGTTGCGCGAATGTAAGTGGCCAAAATTATCAATGTTAAACTAAAATTGTTTGGTTAACGGCAAGATGACTTTTGAAAGCATAACGTGTTTTCACACTCCTTGGATCGCATTTTATCTTGGTGCCGGGAATCGTGGTAAAAAATTTAAAAATCTCGCGATCTCGTGTGCATATGCATTTTAGCTAACTTCATTAGATTCTGTGGATCAGCAGTCAACATCACCTTATTTATCTAAAAGTAACGGGTAGTTAAAAACTGGAATTTTTTGAAACGAACATTACTCACTTACTGCTTAATCACCCTCCTACAAGCACATTGAACATTACAACAATCTCTTGCTTTCATATCACAAATATTAGTAGGTGAAATCAATCAAATAATTTAGGGTATATGTTAGCAAATTCAGCACGTCCTTCTGGTTCTTCCGCAAGCTAATTACATCAAAGTGATCGTCTGAACTCTTCTCGGGTAAAGTCGTTCATAACTTATCTTATTTTTCTTGATCAAATTACGGTTCCTGGAAGCAGGGATCCAGTCCATCAACGAGTTTAGCGGCAGTCATTTTGAAGCACTCAAATTGTGATTTAAATGCGACTGCGATCAATTTTGAAATACTCTCAACCAGTTCGTTAACGGGGCTGTATCTGGGATAGAAATATCATGTATGTTTCCTATTCATATTGATGCGCTGCACAACCAGTTTCGTGCCTAGTTGTATTGTACATGTAGAATCAGCAGCAGCGCGACTACAGTCGTGTACCCTGGGTTGGTGTTGTTGTTGTATTGAAAAAAAAAAAGGGGTATATATATATAATAATGGGGGGGGGGGGGGGGGGGGGGGGGGGGGGGGGGGGGGGGGGGGGGGGGGGGGGGGGGGGGAAATGGGGGGGGGGGGGGGGGGGGGGGGGGGGGGGGGGGGGGGGGGGGGGGGGATATATTGGGGGGGGGGGGGGTATGTGTTGGGGGGGGGGGGGGTTTTTGGGGGGGGGGTTGTTGGGGGGGGGGGTTTTTATGGGGATTGGTAGTCTATTGTGTGAGTATGGGTTTTTTGTGTATTTTTATTGGATATTGGATTTGGATTGTGTGTGTGTGGTTGGTTAAGGTTTTGGTTTTAAGGGGGGGTGGTAGTGTTAGGGTATGGGGGGTTGGGTGATTATTTGATAAATGGGTGTAATGAGAGAAGGTGGGAGGGATTGGGGAAGGGAAGAAGGGTGTAGAGTAGGTTAGAAGTAGAGGGAAATGGTAAGAGTATATGGGGGTTGGGGATGATGGGGATTATTGTGGAGGTAGGAGCTGTGGGATATGAGATTGATAGATGTGCAGATGGGGACTAAATGGATATGGATAGTGGGAGTAATTAATGTAGGATGATGGGGGCGGTTACAAGATGTGGAGGGAGAGTGTTGGAGTAAATATGTAATTATAAGGTTGGGCGATATAGGAAGAAAAGAGGGGCGTTCCAGACTATCCTAAGCCTGCTGACTGAGAGTGAACATGCTGAATTAGCTGAAGTAATAGGATTTGCTCATGAAACTTAAGTGAGGCAGAATATCACAAACCCATGTGTAGAACTGTGTCACATACGGAACTAAAGGTGTGGCTTAACCTGAGAATGTCGGTAGTGACATTACAGACATTACAGTTCTTATTGAGGTAGTTCAACTTCCAACGAGTACCTTCAGTTCCCTAATGTACCCAAGTCTGACTGAACCCAGGTTCAGATAAAACCAACTCGCCCAGAGTGAGTACGTAGACAATTGTAAATTTGTCAGTGAAACGGAGCCGTTCCTCTAACGATATTTCATCAAGGAGAAGGTGCCTAAGGTTGCTTGCGAAAGACATTTGGTCCAACAAACTAAGTTGAAGCAATCCACATGCGGATGCCTAATGAATACTTTGGTTGGCGCAGCAGAAGTATCTAAAGGCTATAATTATTAGATTCCAACTTTGCTTCATATACAACCGCAGGATTTTTGATTCGCGTTTTTCCAATAAACCTAATTGTTTATCCTTTCTAGTTTACTAACTTAATTTTCACCCCTATGTTTTTCAATTATTGCATTAGTCCTCTTCAATCTTGCAAGACAAATCTTGCATACTCGCCTTGATTAAATACTATGAAAGTCTCTGTTTCAGGATACACAAGCAATGCTAACCGGTTAAAGAGTGCGGAACCTATGTGCAAGTTGGTGGTGTGAAGAAAATCTCAAAGTTTCCATATGTCACAAAATTCGTGGTAACGATATAGCTAACACGCTCACATACACCTTTACTCCCGTTTAGTTAACCTAATTTAGACGACGAGTTAATGTTCAACCCATGCACCCAATGAATTTTATTTGGCCTAGGACTGACTTGCATTGTCAACGCATCAGCGTACGCAGAGGCGACGTAAATCATCCATTTTTTTATCCGAGCAACCGAGCATTTTTTGATTGACTGCATTAACGGTTTAATTATAATACACGTTTTATTTTGCATATCAACGGCGCTGAAGCTGATGACGTCTATCTCACAAGTAAGTGTCACAAGGTATAGAGTGCAGATAATGGCACGATGAATCTATACTATCAATCTCACCTCTCCGGCGTTTCTTTGGCTTGACGTTCTGCGAATGTCTGAAGGCCCTATTCGTATATTCAGCATTCATATGTATCTCAGGACTGTTTATGCTCCGACACCAAATTTTTTTACACACCCGATGACTGTTGTAAACCTTCTGTGCAATATGTGTTTGAATGCCTATCCAACTAGCGGCGCCATAAAGAAATAAGCTGCGACTGCTTGAATGTTTAAACTTACACATTGGACGCCAGGTGAAATAAAATCCAAACAACAGAGGGCTTCAGATAGCGGATGCAACGAAAGTGTTTGAGCAGCAAACATATTCTATTCTTCTTTATTTCTACCTTATTTTTGTGTTCCGTTTACCGAGATTGACCTACACTTTACTGCTCCGATTTTTATATGTTTCATTTGCCCTATCCACCTTAAACAACCTACTCACCGTCATACGCGGCTCAATGCGAAAGTCACACAGTTGCTGGATTAGGTGGTACATGAGCTCATAAACGTATAGAATAAAGACCTCTGAACATAGAACAGAGTACGTTCCTTATACCACAGTGTCATTCGTTCCGCCTTCATCGACACCCAACCTACATTCTACACAAGCATACAAGTAAACTAGTGCTAACAGCTATAAATATATATGTTATTAACCTGGCCGCGAAACATGAATAGCAAATAGGCCACGCTACTTGGATGGTTCAGGTGTGTTTGATTCATTTCATCATTAAACACGTTAGCTAGAATTGAAGAACACCTCAGCTGCTGTGCCGCAATACATAGGAAAAAAGGAGAAAAAAAGCAACTGGTGCAAGCTGGCTGAGCTACCGTTAACGGATGGGCATCGTTCCGGTAATCTACCAGCCGGCTGCTGTACACAAAAACAAAAAAATTATTATGCAACATTATATAACGCTAAATAATGAGATCATGTTTGGAGAGGGAGGATAAGATGGATAGGGTGGGACAAAGAAACTCACATCACGAGAGCCACTGAGGTCGGCTCCTAACCATATCAGCAAGTGTGTCCATCCAAACGTGTTCATCGTCTTTCGGACCCCAACCACGGAGCCGAGACGCTCCATTTGAGGCCAGCTCAGAAGTGAGGGCCTTCATTCCTCTGGACCAAGTCACCGCTTGGCCACCCCTCCTCTTCTTCCATCCACACCCCCGGCGCGCAAACAATACACGTCACGGGAGTCGGTGGGTTGGCATGCTTAACACGTGGCCGAGCCATCGGAGCCTGATGCGCGAAATAACGGTGCTCAGCGGTTCGTTTCCTTTTCCTGTGCCATAAACAAAGCGTCGAACACGCTCGTTGCTCACGCGGTGTTCCCACCAGATGTGAGCTAAATTACGAAGGCACCAGTGGTCGAACGTAACCAGCCTCTTCAGGTCCGCTGCTTTAAGCGGCCAGGTATCACAACCGTACAGTAGGGTCGAACGTACCGCTGCATTGTACACTATACCCTTCAGGACGGGAGTGATGTCGCGCCGGCGCCATAAGTTGCGATGGTTAGCAAAAGCGACACGAGTTTTGCTATACTATTCGTGATTTCATCTTTAATCCCACGGGCGCTAATACAACTTCCCAGGTAGTTGAATTTTTGAACGACTGCTAGCTGATCCCCACCAAGCGTCAGCGTAGGAGGCGGTCCAGACCAATCTTGCAGGAACCCTTTACACTTCGAGGGTGCGAAGCAAAGCCCGAAGTGACGGACAGCTAGTGCTAATCTGTCCAGTGCCGCTTGGCGCGTTTGTGAGCTGTCACAGATTAGGGCAATATCATCAGCATACTCTAAATCAAGAAGTCGTTCTCCTGGGAGTAGCTCCACACCTTCTAAGTCGTGTCCTTTGAACGCGATTTCTATGACTTCATCAACAGCGAAGTTGCAGAGGAAAGGTGACAGCGGGCATCCTTGTGTCACGCCGCTGGAGATAGTAAAGGACGACGACAACTTGCCGGAAGCCCTCACTCTGCCCGAGCTACGCGCATATAATGCTCGGATAATATTCACATATTTCTCGGACACACCTTTCCTGAGTAGACAGTCCCAAAGTGCATGTCTATCCACGAATCGAATGCACCTTTAATATCGAGGAACACGACAACTGTGGGCCCCCAATATATGTGAAGGTGCTCCAACAACTGACGCAAGGTGAAGATGTGGTCAATGCAGCTACGACCTCGACGAAATCCAGGTTGCTCTTCGCGAATCTGGCTTTCACGAGTGCCAGTCATTCTGTGAAGGATGACAGAGGCAACAATTTGGAGGCGATGGAGATCAGACTGATTCCCCCATGGCTGCTGCATTCCGATCGTGAGCCTCCTTTGAAAATTAGGACTATGATGGAGCGGCTCCAATCGGCTGGGACAGTTTCCTGCTCCCATAGTTTGACTAGTAAGTCGTGTAAATCATTCACAAGAGTAGGTCCCCCAAATTTGAAGAGGGCTGGAGGAAGGTCAGCAGGTCTCGCGGCTTTATTTCACTTCAACAGTTCGATCTCATGTTCGACTTCTGAGCAAGAGATTGGATCCAAATGGACAGCCCACGGAGCAAGGCGATCACAAGTCGGCGAGAAATCAAACAATTCCGACAGATTAAATTGCCTTTCAAAGTGCTCAGCCCAACGTTCCAGGCGTTTTGATAAGTTGTGGATAGGCTGTCCACTCTCGTCACGTATAGTTTCACTAACAGCAGTTCTCCTGCTGCCCGTTTTCCGTATAAGACGGAATAACTCACGACGTTACCAAGGGCAGCGGCCATTTCCATCTCTGTTGCACGACGAGGCCACCAGGATTCGCGGTCTCTCTTCAGGCTAGCAGGGAATTTCGCCCGGAGCTGTTTGCGAGTTTCATTGTGTTCGCTTCCAGCCGGAATATGCCGGCGAGCATCTGTAATTTCCAAAGACTGTGAAGAGACCCAATATTCATGTAGGCGATTAGACATACCACATGAGCATTTGCCTGCTGCTAGTAAGGCCTGGTGAATATGAGACCAGTGAGCTTCATTTGCATCCAGTGAGCGTTTATCCAACTCGGATGACTGCTAATTTGATAGGCTTTCAGAACAGCTGGATTCATCAGTCTGCCGGTGTCAATGCGCTCACAGCATCGTCGCGGGCGTCCACCGAAACGCATCCGCAGGTCAGCACATACAAGTGCATGATCGGTGTCAACACCTGTGCTCCAAATCGAGCGACAGTTCTGGATGCAGATTCTCCAGCGCTAACTGACAGCAATGTGATCGATTTGCGTCCATATCTGGTTCGAGGCTGGTGAACGCCAAGTCACCCTCCGGCGGGTGCTGTGTCGGAAATTAGTGCTCGCATGAAATAAGCGAGCATCCTCACACAAATGAAGTAACCGCTCACCGTTATCAGTACGGGAGCCTATACCATGTTGGCCGCCCAGATTCAGCTCAACAGTGGATAATTTTCCAACTTGAGCGTTCAG